AAAACACACCTCATACTGTGTGCTTTTTATTTTTTTACATTTACTTATTTATTTTTGAGAGAGAGAGAGAGAGATTGAGTGGAAGGGGGCAGAGAGAGAGGGAGACAGAATCCGTAGCAGGCTCCAGGCTCCAAGCTGTCAGCACAGAGCCCGACGTGGGGCTGGAACTCACAAACTGTGAGATCATGACCTGAGCCCAAGTCGGACGCTTAACCGGCTGAGCCACCCAAGCGCCCCGAGTTTTGGTCTTAAAAAGGCACACACTGGGACACCTGAGCGTCTGACTTCGGCTCAGGTCATGATCTCACAGTTTGTGAGTTCGAGCCCCACATCGGGCTCTGTGCTGACAGCTCGGAGCCTTGAGCCTGCTTCGGATTCTCTGTCTCCCTCTCTCTCTGCCCCTCCCCCACTCACACTCTGTCTCTCTCTCCTTCAAAACTAAACAAACATTTAAAAAAAATTTTTTTTTAAAGACCAAAACTCACTCTTAAATACCTTCAGACACCCCTGTAAGTTCAAGAGTATTAGGCCCAATTTTAATGAGAGAACAGAGTCTTGAGAATTTTAATTTGTCCAAAGTCATTAGGCTAGGTTGCAATGGTTGCAAAATTTAAGCACAGATCTATTCAAAGCATTCTGGAGTTTATTTTGAGATAATAAAAAGTAATGGCACCTCCCACGTGAACACCAATGTCTATGCAAAGATACAATTAAAAGAGGGAAAAAACAACAACAATTTACCAGGAGGGTCTCACCACTCTATGCATTCAAATAAAAATTCAGTCTTCCACTGCCTTCAGCAGAACAACTATATTTAGCAATTTTAGTCCCACATCAGACTTAATAAGATAAAGGTAATACTACTTCTCCAGAAAATCAGGTCTTGTGTTTATAGCCCCAGCCCATGCAGAAAACTAAGAAAACAAATTCCAAGAATAAAGAAAAACAAAAGCTCCCTGGAAATTTCTCATTCTGCTGCAAACCAGCACTAGGGTATTTACACAAAATAAATAACATGCAAGCTTCCTATCCATTTTATAAAATGTAACAACAAAATAGTTGACATTTTTACAAATTCTCCCTAATATTGTAAGGCACATAGTGGTCTGCTGCATTAACAGGTCAACATGATCTTTTTATAAAAGACAAAATCATATGTGTGTCACATATGTTTGTTTAATCACTAACAAATAAAGGCTGTAACTGATTCCTGATGACAAATGTGCATCTTGCAGACAAAAAAAACACAACCTGGGATGGACATTTTAGGTATTCTAATTACCTATGAAGAGTGAGAACAACAGCGATGTTTATGTCTGGGGAGGGGAATACTTTAAAAAGCACCCTACCACCCAGCAAAGAACTATGGGAAAGAAAATCAAGAAACCTGAATTCTAACCCTAACTCTAGGACTTGAGCAAACCACTCTAACCCATCTGCTAAGAAATGAAAGTCTGGATGACTTTTCTTTAAGGTCCCTTACAAACCTAAACCACAGTTATCAAAAAAACAAGAGCTTACATAGTAGAGGGGTATCTAATGTGTACAAGCTTCTCATGATCATGGGAGGATATGCACTCGATCCAAAGTCAACATGTAAGCCAGTGAGGCCACGCAAGGCGGTGACCCAGATCTCACTGCTGAACTACTACTACACTCAGAGTAACTAACAAACATGCAGACCTACTTGGTGTAAATTGAGCTGATTTCATAAATTTTAATCAGTATGAATTAATGCACTAAGTTTCCAGGCTACTTCTGGGAATAAAACCCTCCAGACTCCACCTAATTAGATGAGCCCATGAGGAATAAGCTAAACTTGCCCCAAAAGTAAGAGTTTCTATCCCCAAACCACTCAGAAATCTCAAGTCGCCAGGCTCTGACCACTGTTTGGGGGCGCTGACTCAATTATGCTGTATTTACTTCCAGTGAAACTATCAGTAACCTAAAACTAAAATAGAAAACATCTATGCCAGGGGCACCTGGGTGCCCACTGGGTGGCTCAGTAGGTTAAATGACTGATTTTGGCCCAGGTCATGATCTCATGGCTCATAGTTCCAGCCCCGCATTAGGCACTCTGCAGTCAGCACAAAACTCACTTCAGATCCTCTATCCCCTCTCTCTGCACCCCCTCCGCTTGCACAAGCACACACACTCCCTCTCTCTCTCAAAAATGAACAAACCTTAAAAAA